ATTGAAAAGGTATGCCTTCTATCCAGTCTGAATTTGTCTAGCTGCAACTTCCAACCGTTGGCTCATGCTCTACCTTTCTCTGCTAGACTGAAGTGCCCATTATTAACTATTTGTTCCCCATGTAGATACTTACAGTCTATAACCAAGTCACTTCTTAACCTTCTTTTTGTTAAGCTAAATAGATTGAGGTCCTTGAGTCGATCACTATAAGGCATGTTTTATAATCCTTTAATCAGTCTTGTGACTCTTCTCTGAACACTCTCCAATTTATCAATATCCTTCTTAAATTGTGCACACCAGAACTAGACACAGTATTCCAGCAGTGGTTGCACCAGTGCCAAATACAGAGATAAAATAATCTCTCTACTCCTGCTTGAGATTCCCCTATTTAGGCATCTGGTCACCCTATTTCTGTATGCATTTCCCCAGGTTTTTTGTAAAAATCAAAACTGAACTGCCCCAGAAATTCTGTCGTGGAATTATCGTGAAACTTGCATGGCTCCAACCCTGCTGATGAACCTTTAGAGCCACTGCACAGACTTCTGCCACTTGAGCTAATGGAGTAAGTGATGGCAGAGGCAGTAAGTTGTCATCCTATATGTGATAGATCAGCTCTATAGGGGGATGAGACACTTTTTTTGCCACTGGGTTTCACAGATATCTGCTGACAGAAGAGGAACTGTGAAACTCAGGAATCCTGGGTCTATTCCAGGCTCCTGAATGGAGTGGTCTCTAGTAGTCAAAGACCCTTCTTCCCCGTCCCCTCCAATCTATGTCTATCCTATTGCTGTCTAACCCGCCCCAGCTCCTCATCTGATTTCAACTGCCCCCACTACCGCTCTGGATTCCTTGTCCCAGTTTCCTCTCTCCCCGCCCCCATCCCTCAGATGGGATGTTCGTTCCAGATTGGCAAAATTATAAGACTTCTCAACATTTCAACACTTCCCATTCTAAATTTTCGGTTGCTTAACTATAGGCTAGCTCTGCCTACAACAAAGCATATTCAGAACCTCTGATTAAAGGGATTATAAGTGTAGCAACCTCCATCATAACTAGTCACCAAAGATTGAACCCGAGCCATCCAGACTTAAAAGCATGAGCTTCTACTACTTGAGTTCAAGATATAACTTCCTTAGCTGGTAGCTATACAGTTATCCTGTAAAAATCCACAAGAGGAGGGCACAAAACATGTTGGACAGTGAATTACAAAAGTGCCAAATATTATTAGACCTGCAGTACTTTTCACAATGAACATCAGCGGGGGATAAACTGGGAGTTTAAGAATATTTGGAAAACAATTTTAGAATAACATTCAGTGCTGTGGTTTAAAAGAAAAAAAAAAGCAGTTAAAACTAATAACTTAGCAATATTAAGTATTGAAAAAAAAAAAAAAAAAACTTCTAGGAGCTATGGGATACAAGTTAAGAATGTTGAAACAGGAAGATGTTATGCTTAGTTACCACTTGGGCAAGGCGGCGTGCTATGTAATACTTGGAAGATTTCACTGTAATGTTTTACAATATATAGCAGCGCAATGCTGATTCCATTGATATTGTTGAGCAATTCATGCTGATTTTATTTCAGCCCACATCTGAATAGTTTTGAATACTATAGATCACAATTTTCAGCTCAGTTGGTCTGAACATGCAGAGCTTTAAAACTGCTATGCTCTAAACTGTATATTAACTACAATTTTATAAACCTGCATGTCAGAGAACTGTGCGCCACTATTACTAGACAGTGGCACAAGGCAATTCAGTGTGAATCACAGAAATGTAGGACTGGAAGGGACATCAACAGGTCATCTAGTCAAACCCCTGCACTGAGGCAGGACTGAGTAATAACAACACTAGACCATCCTTGACAGTTGTTTGTCTAACCTCTTAAAAAACTCCAATGACTGCTATTCCATAACCTCTCTAGGTAATTTGTCCAGTGCTTAACTACCTTTACAGTTAGGAAGTTTTTCCTAATGTTTAACCTAAATCTCCCTTGCTTCAATTTAAGCCCATTGCTTCTTTTTCCTGTATGTCCTGAGTGACATGGGGGTGGGTCCAGGCAGTGGGATTAGGAGGAGGGAGGTCGAGGAAGTTGGTGGGTGTGTGGGGATGGACCAGGGGAAGCAGGGTGGAGGAACTGAGGGGGACAGGACTGGGATGGGGGGAGTAGGGTAGGGGCTGAGGGGAGCATGAATGGGACAGGGTAGAGAGAGCTGTGTAGAGTGGGGCGGGGTGGGGGAGACAATGGGGCTGGGTTGGGGAGAGGGACAGGGTCTGGAAGGGATGAGACAGAGGGGAGCAGGGCTGGAATGGGGGGAAGTTGAGGGGGAGCGATGGGGTGGGATGACAGGAGAGGCTGAAGAAGAGATTGGGGGTAGGGCAAAGCTGAGGGCAGTGGGTTGGGGGGAGCAGGGGGCCTGCGGGGGAGGCTGTTGGAACAGGGGCAGGGACTGAGGGCAGTGGGTTTGGGGTGGGAGGTACAGGGGGGACTGCAGGGGAGGCTGAGGGAACAGGGTCAGGGTGGGGGCTGAGGGCAGTGGGTCGGGTCTACACTGGCACCTCTCAGCATTGCTGTGCCGGACGGCAGACCTGCGCCAGCGCTACCCTGGCAATGGAAGAATCCTCAGTGGAAATGCAGACTTCATGACACAGACCCTCCTCGTCACTTCAAACCTGGTGCTGCTCTGGTCAGTTGCTAGGCTCTTGTTACTTTCAAACCCATGCAGGGTATCTGGCTCTTTTTCAGTTCTCAGGTTAAGAAAAGCCTCTGCATTTTGTGAGGGCTTCAGCATTCACTTTCCTACTTGACAAACTGTCTGCCTGACACATTGCTCCCAGGGCATTCATCTTTATTCATTAGCGGTAGGTCCATCAGATTAAGGAGCAACACGGGGAAGCAACACAATGGTGTCAAGGATTTTTAATTTTTCAAACCACTTTGGCCTCAACAGTGATAACAGCAAATCTGGACAGAGCAGATGGGTGTCAGGATGGGTTTGGGTATTTATTTTTTTAAGTGAAAATGTTTGGGTCTGAGCAAAGACTGCAAACTTCCCTTTGGAAACCTCTGCTGATCTTTTGCCCCAGGGGCTAAGGACAGCCTGGAAGCCGGGACAGATTTCCACATCCATGCAGCGTGAGATGATCAGGGGGAGGGGAGGGACTGTGGGGGAGGCAGAGGGAACAGGGTCAGGGTGAGCGCTGAGGGCAGTGGGTCGGGTGAGATGATCGGAGGGGAGGGACTGTGGGGGAGGCAGAGGGAACAGGGTCAGGATGGGGGCTGAGGGCAGTGGGGCTGAGAGGAGCCCCCCCAGAAGGACCTGCCAGGGGGCCAGGTGAGCCCAGCAGTGCTTACCTGGAGCGGTTCCCAGGAAGCATCCAGCAGGCAGGTCCCTCCCAGTCTCTCTGGCCCCTTCCTAGGGTCGAGGGGAGGGGAGAGGAAGGGGGGGCTCTCTGCCTGGCGACCGCTGCCTGCTGCCGGAGTCTATAAGCCCCGCCCCGCTGCAGCACGCAGGGGGGCGAGACCTCCTCGCTGCCTCTCTGTGTGCCCGGGGCAGGGGCAGGGCAGGGCTGCGCTCTGCAGGCTCCTGCTGGCCGGGCGGCGGGCCCCGTGGGCTGGCGCCGCTGCGCCGGGAGCTCAGCTGCGCGCTGCCCCAGGGTGGGAAGGTGAGTGGCGCCGGCTTGCCGCGGTCCCCCTCATATAGGGTGACCAGACGTCCCGACCAATGTAAGGTCGGGACGCGGGACAAGTCCCCTAAAATCGGGACTGTCCCGATAATATGGGGACGTCTGGTCACCCTATGTATAGGCACCTATTACCCCCTTCCCCCACCCAACCCTATTTTTCACACGTGCTATCTGGTCAAAATAAGCACTGCAGCAGCTCCCATTCAGCCCTACGGCTGTAGCTGCTACCTGCACTGATGGGAGAGTATCTCTTATCAAGCATAGTTACGCTGCCGGCCCGAGCGGTGGTAGCTATGCCTGCGGGAGAAGCGCTCCACAGTAGGCTTGTCCACAGCCCTGAGCGAGCTCTCCAGTGTAGACTGAGCCTCTGCTTGCTGTGAGGTGCCAGCAGGGAGTGCCCCAGTGCTGAGTTGTCCCCTTTATCTGTTTTTCACATGGAGTCCTGCTGCACGGGGTGGTCCCTGCCTGCCCACCAGGGGGCCCCTGTGAGAGGGGTGGGGTGGAGGCTGAAAAAATGTTACGCTCTGACACTGCCCCCAAGCTGGCACGTGCCGGCCTGGCAGCGGGCAAGGGCGGGGTGAGACAGCAGTTCATCGGTCTGGCAATGCTCCCCCTTCCTACCCTGGCTGGCATGTGCGCTGCCACTCTGTTTCAGCAGGGCAGGGCTCGCATTAAGCAGTTGCTCTATGGCAGGGGTGGAATGCTCACAAAATTGGAGGATTTGGGTGTAGGAGAGGGTGAGGAGACTGGCTAAGGGTGTAGGCTCTGTGGTGGGGCAAGAAATGAGCAGAGTGTGGGAAGGGGCTCTGGGCAGGGGGGAAAGGGTTCTAGCTGGGGGTGCAATTTCTGGGGTGGGGATGAGGGATTTAGGGTGCCGGAGGGTGTTCTGGGCTGGGACTGAGAGGTCTGGAGGGTGGGAGGGGGTCAGAGGTGCAGTCACCAGGCAGCGCTTACCTCAAGCAACTCCCAGAAGCAGCAGCATGTCCCCGCTCTGGCTCCTACGCAGAGGTGCGGCCAGGCGGCTCTGCGCTCTGCCCTATCTGTAGGTGCTGCCCCTGCAGCTCCCGTTAGCCGTGGTTCCGAGCCAGTGGGAGGTGCGGGGGGGCACTTACGGCGGGCGCAGTGTATCAGCCCCTTGGTCGGAGCCGGAGGGGGGACATGCCGCTGCTTGTAGGAGCTGCAGGGAGCCCCAGGCCCTGCTCCCCGCCCGGCGCTCAAGGGTTGGATTAAAACGGCTGAAGGGCCAGATGCAGCCCCCAGGCCATAGTTTGCCCACCCCTGCTCTATGGTTTGGGGGGGAGTCTGTGCGGCTAGAGCGGCTCCGCAGCTCGGTGTGCCCAGCGGTGCTAGAGCGGCGCCCTTTCCATCCCCCCACCCCACGCTGCGATTGGGCTAGACTGGCTCCACCCAGGCTGAGATTCTTTGGCGCGTGCGCAGTCGCGGGAGGGGGTGTGGCCGGCGCTACTGAGCTGTTGGGAGCGGACTCGGGGCCGTTTCGCGAGGCCCTTGTTGCCGGTGGGGGTTGGGCGGCCCGATGGCGACGTTCTTCGGGGAGGTGGTGGCGGCGCCGTCCCGGGCCGGGGTGGACGACGAGGAGGAGGCGGCGGCGGAGCGCGAGGAGACGCCGGAGGACCGCGAGATCCGCAGGGAGCTGGAGAAGAAAAGGTAGCGGGGGCGGGCGGGGGCAGCGCGCGGGAGGCCGCAGGGCGCGAGCTCGAGCGCCCGGCTGTGTCAGCGGCGGGTGGGTCCCGCCCGGGGAGAGGCGCAGCGCTGCTGCCTGAGCGACGTGGCGCTCGGACGCTGTTTGTGGGGAAAACGCGGGGTCGGGCCTGAGAGCCGCGTTGTCTTTATAAAACCTAGTACGGGAGGGGGGCGAGCCCGGTGCGGAGTGGCCTGTGCTCAGCCCAGTTTCTGGGCTGAGCTTATTTTCCTCCCTCTTGTCTCTCTGGGTGCCAGGCAGGAGTCCTAGCCATGTAGGGCTGGAAGAGACCTCAAGAGGTCGTTAACCCAGTCCCCTGTGCTGAGGCAGGACTGGGTATACCTGGACCATCGCTGTCAGCTGTTAGGCGGGGTTTAAGAACAGGTTGGACAATGGTGGGTATTCCACTGTATCCATTGAAGCGTTTTCCACTGCTTAACTAGCCTTATAGCTGGATTTTTTCCCTAATATGGAACCTAAATCTCCCTTGCTGCAGATTAAGATAATTACTTTGATCACTAGCTGCACATGGGAGCTTTGTAACAGCCCTTAAGGTGTTTGAAGACTATCAAGTCTCTCCCCTACTAAGCCCCCCTCCTTTGCTCAAGACTAAAACATGCCTAATTGTTTATAACCTTTTAGTTTTCTAAACTTTATCATTTTCATGTTTTTACTCTGGACTCTCTCGAGTTTGTCCTCATTTTCCTATGCTCAGAACTGCACCTGCAACTTCAGCTGAGGACTCACCAGTGCCAAATAAAGTGGGTCAAGACTTCCTGTGTTATATATCTGACATACCTGTTAATACACCCCAGAATGATAGCCTTTTTCATAACTGCATCACATAGTGGACCACAAATTGAATGAGTCAACAATAACCCCTAGATTCTTTTCAGCAGAACTACTGCCTAGCCAATTATTCCCAATTTTATAGATGTGCATTTGATTTCTTCCTTCCTAAGCGTAGTACTTTGTTTGCACTCATCTTTATTGAATTTTGTTGATTTCAGAGCAGTTCTCCAATTTGTCAAGATTGTTTTGAATTCTATTCTTGTCCTCCAAAGTACTTGCAGCCCCTCCCAGCCAGGTGACATTTGCAGATTTTATAAGCATACTATCCATTATCCAAGTCATTAATGAAAATATTGACTAGTACTGGACTCAGGACAGACCCCTGTGGGACCCCACTATATACATCTCTCCAGTTTGACTGCAAGCCATTGATTACTACTCTTAAACTGGTTGAAAGACCATAATCTTGCACCTCTTTTATAGTATTTTCTTCTAGACGACATTTACCCAGTTTGCTTATGAGAATGTCATGTGGTACTGTGTCAAAAGCCCTACTGAAATTAAAATATATCATATCTACTGTTTACCCCCATCTATTAGGCTAGTAACCCTGTCAAAGAAGGAAACTAGGTTGGCTTGACATGATTCGTTCTAGAGAAATCTATGTTGGCAATTACTTAGAACCCTATTATCCTCTAGATGCTTACCATTTGATTTAGTTAGTAATTTGTTCCAGTATTTTTCCAGGTGTTGAAGTTAGGTCTGTAACTCCCCAAGTCCTTTGTTCCCTTTTTAAAAACTCAGTCCTATGTTTGCTCTTCTCCAGTTGTCTGGGACCTCACCTGTCCTCCATGAGTTCTCAAAGATAATCACGAATGGTACTGAGATTACGCCAGCTAGTTACTTAAATGCCCAAGGGTGAATTTAATCAGGTTCTTCTGATTTGAATACATCTAACTTATCTAAATATTCTTTAACCTGTTTTTTCCCCGTTTTGGCTTGTGTTCCTTCCTTTGTGTAACATAGGATGAGTCTCACAAAAACTATTTTTGTATTGTTTTTCCAGATCATAGAGAGAGGTAAATGGATCTAACCTTATTGCACAACGTATGTTCCTATCCATTGTTTGTTTTGTTTGCATTTAACCTATTTCTGTTTCTTATGCTAGGGAGGTCCACATCCTTTGGAGTTCGAAGTTAAGTGCATCTACTGGAAGCTTTACAGATGAGCAGTTTCCTTGCTCTAAGTTTATATTGGCGATAGGACATAACGCTGTAGGTAAGTGGTCCAGACTGAGAAAAAAGCTTTAGAAACTCTATACAATTGTTTTACCCTGCTCCCACTGTAACTTTTGAATACTGAGCAGTAGCAGGTAGGAACATGGGGAAGGTGTGTGTGCTAAGAGAGCGCTTTTCCACATGAAGCCATGTTTGATTTTGCTTTGGGTCTCACCATGACTGTTAAACTCCCTTTTATGCAAAGGATAGCAGCAATCTGGGTGCCTGGCAAAATGGGTAGAGAATTGCAGTGCTCCTGCAGGAGGCATTCTGACCATGCTCGGGAGGGATTTTAATTACTTCCGTTTATCATTCAGGAGATAAACTTTTAGACCTGATGTTGGTGAAGAGAACTTTCCAAATGTAAACTGAGGTAATGATGCGTCTTTAGACAGCACCAATAATTCTGAAGTTGTACATTGCTTTGCCATACTGAAAGTGTCTTTATTTTATTTCTTTCGATACCTGCAGGAGGTAGCATTTAAAAATACATTTTTTTAAAAGTATCTATCCCATATGGTTATCTGATACATCTTGAAAAATGCAAATGATCCCATAAAGATGACTTCATCGCTCATGTCAATTTATCTGCCACTCAGAAGCTAAGAGTAGGAGCAAAGGCAGGCACTGAAGCTTTTTGCAGTGGAATGCAAATAATCTGTTTTGGGACACATAGGGTAGCAGAGATACAGTAAGTTCTCACTTAACGTCGTCCTGGTTAACGTTGTTCTGTTACGTTGCTGATCAATTAAAGAATATGCTTGTTTAAAGTTGCGCAATGCTCCCTTATAACGTTTGGCAGCTGCCTGCTTTGTCCACTGCTTGCAGAAAGAGGAACCCATTGCAGCTAGCTAGTGGGGGCTTGGAACCAGGGTGGACCGGCAGCCCCCCTATCAGCTCCCCTAAGTTCCCTGTGTGGCAGCTGCCCAGCAGACTGTGAATTGCCGGCAGTTCAGCTGTCCCTCCCCACGCTGCCCTGTGCTGCTCCTGCCCTCTGCCTTGGAGCTGCTCCTGGGAGCCTCCTGCTTGCTGTGTGTGTGTGTGTGTGCGCGCGCGCGCGCGCGCACTAATGTCAGGGTGTCCCCCTGCCCTCCATCTCCACCGAGCATGGTGGAGGGGTGGGGGACACACGACAGGGCTCAGGACTGAAGGGAGCTTGCTGGCAGCAGCTGCTATCTCAACTTGCTGATCTACTTTAAAAGGCAGTGTACTTAGAGTGGGTTCAGCGTACTTAAAAGGGGCAATGCGTGACACACACACACACACTCTCTCTCTGTGTGTCTGTCTCTCTTTCTCTCTCTGCCATGCTGTGTCTCCTCCCTCCATTCCTGCTGCCTTGTACAGTGTGAGGCTACATTAACAACACTGTGTTAACCCTTGAGAGCTCAGCCGAGTGCTAGTTCATCATTTAGTAGTAAGGCATTCCCTGGGAAATATCCTACCCTCTGACTCCTCCACCTCAACCAAGTTTCACAATCATCATTGCTGTGTACAGTATTATTGTTTGTTTAAAACTTACACTGTGTGTGTGTGTGTAAGTATGTGTGTATATATATGTGTGTGTGTATGTGTATGTCTTTTCTCTGGTGAAAAATTTCCCTGGAATCTAACCCCCCTATTTACACTAATTCTTATGGGGGAAATTGGATTCGCTTAATATCGTTTCGCTTAAAGTAGCATTTTTCAGGAACATAACTACAAGGTTAAGCGAGGAGTTACTGTATACTTGCTTGTCCTGCCTTATAACAGCCAGGAAGCTGGGATGGGAGTAGAATAATAAAGACGCCTCTCTTGCAGTCTGAGTCCCCAACAGCCATGAATTGGTAGGAAAGAGGAAAAGCTCCTTCCAGCAGCCCAAGGGTGGATTGGCACTCCAAATTTCAGAACCCTATTTAAATCTAGTCTTGACAAGGGTTTAAAGATGTAGTGTGAGTTTGAACTAGCTACCATAATTTAACTCTCACATTCTAGGCCTTGTCTTAACTAGTTAAGTTGTACTTTAGCACTTGCTAAGCTGGTCAAGCTAAAGCATGGGCTTTTTGCTTCCCCCATGGCTTTAGCTTGACCTGCTTAGCATGTGCTAATGTCCAGCTTGCCTGGTCTTAACTAGAATTTTTGAAGGTGTGTGCTAGTTTGAACTAGCTGATGTGATCTGAAACCTCTTTAAATCCTAGTCTAAACAAAGCCTCAGAGAGTGGAACATTGAGCAGAGTAGGATAGGAATTCTAGCACCTTCCTTTGCTGTCAACTAGGGATGAAATCTGACTTTCTCACCAGGGATTTGCCCTTGGATTTTATTTGAGGGGGGCCCCCCTTCTTCGTCTCTTAATATTGGTTTCTGATCAGTATGCTTAGTCTCTGGCTAGGTGGTGTCTGGTAAATTCTTCAAGCCCTACTTTTGATCACTTCCTGTAAATTGTGAAGTTCACTTTTGGCAAAAGCAGGCAGAGCCTTGCTCTGAGTTTTGGTACTGAGGAAGAAGCTAGTACCAAAGCCATGATGATGTAGATTAACAAGATAAGAAAAGTTGCTTCACTCATTAAGGCAAAAGTGCAAGTATTATTTGAATAGTGCACTCCTGCTATTTACACTACTTGGGTCTGATTTGTTTCAGAATTGAAAATTGCATCATGGTCACTGTGATGGAGGCTTATATTGCCATGTCAGAGGTGTGTTTTTTTGATGAATGTAGCACTCATTCCCTGGGCTGGTGGAAATAGCTGCATACTAGCATGTTCCGTTTGAGTGTCTAATCATGAGAGATGAGTCTGAAAGGGAAAAGATTCTGAACATATTATCTTGTAGTTTCAACCAATTAATGAATGCAGTAGATGTGATACTGATTTTGGCGGGAGATGGTTCTCTCTGCACAGTGGACAGTGTCTGTTGCCTCAATAACAAATAAGGATCTATGTTTTTCTGTTTATTTTGTAGTATCTGATAAGAGAAACAAAATATTTCATGTGTGACACACAAAATATTTAGAATATACATAACATATATTTGATTAATATTAACTGAGATTTTTTTTAAATGACATTAATATTTAAGATTACTTTCATTCTTGATCTTTCCAGGTGAAAGGGTACTAGAGTTTGTGGTTTTGTTGCAACCACTAACTTAATGTAATTGATAATGAGTTCCCCCCAAAAAACCCAATCACAAACAAACTGTAGTAATCCAGGTCAGGAGGTTTTGTGTAGAACAGTGACTTTTGTTTTAATGGGAATGTCTTACATATCTGATATTACTATATAAACTAATACCGATGTTGTTCACAGCTTTCCTGACCTCATTTGTTCTGAATTCTGGATGCTGGGAAGCAGTTGGCTCTGTCAAATTGTGGAACGAGTGGTGCAGAACATCAAATACAACAAGTGTTCTTCCAACAGATGCTTTCTGTTTGTTCTACAAATTAATATCTGATCCAACAGTAAGTGGCATAATATGTATGCATTTAAAAATGATTCTCTCCTCCTATCTGATTTTCTGTTGAGAAAAGAGTAAGAGTCCTTTTCAGAAAAGAAAACCAATAAAGTTGCAGTGTTCTTATCACTTTTTCTGATGTGGTAAGCTTTGTCAGCTCACTTGACAAGGTTGCTGAGACATGAGCTGCATTTCAGGAAGTTTAGGGTACTCAACTCTGCCACGTAGCTATATTAAATTATGGAATTCAAGGTTACTTCTAGGTGTTAACTCCCATCCTCAAAGTCTAGTGCTAATAGGTGTCATATCCTCAGTTGGCATAAACTGGTGTAATAAAGTTACATTGACTTACACCAGATGAATATCTGGCCCTTTATGTGCAGTACAAGGAAGATTCATGGCAAGATGGAGTGCTTCATACCAGTTGCAGATGGAAAATCCTCATTGAAATGGTAGTAGTATATAGTGTGAATGTAATCAATATCATGTTAATGTAGAGTCAGTATCTTTTTAATATGAGACAGAAAGGGACTATAACTGAGTTGTCTGAATCATTTGTTTACAATTCTGTCTTTTCAGGTATTGTTGTGCCAGTGCAATTGCTATGTGGCTGAGGATCAGCAATTTCAATGGCTTGAAAAGGTAAAATTGAGATTAACAGGAGTTAGGCAAAGAATTTTTCTTTTTGGGGGGGGGGGGGGGGGGGGGGAGGAGGGAACCTCTTATAAGAAAAACAAAACACCTCTACTTATAATGCTCAGTTATTTTCTATATTGCTTTCCATTCCCCCCCCACCTCTCCCCCAAGCGTCAGAAAACTAAATGTTGTTTGAATTTCGTACCAAGAAGTTCTGTCTAATCCCATTATGGCTGGTACTGGTTGCGTCTGCTGTAGTTAAACTTTCTAAAACAGTTTCCAGTAGATAGAGCCTCTGTTCTCTCATGCGTCTGACAAAGTGGGTATTCACCCACGAAAGCTCATGCTCCAATACATCTGTTAGTCTTAAAGGTGCCACAGGACTCTGTTGCTGTTCTCTCATACTCATTTTCAGAAACATTTGCCTTTCAGGGTTAAATTTTCCATGGTTGATTTCAACAGAGGTGAATTATTCTAACCACTTTTGAGTTATGGGAATATGGAAAAAAATTTGAGTGTTTGTGGTGTGTTTTTTTTGTTTTGTTTAGGAAAGAAAAGGTATAACAGCACTTGTACAGGGCTACGGCTGCCAAAAATAACTAGTTTGAAACTTGGCATGGACAAAGTCCTCACTGAGGAGTGTGTGTTCTGCTTTCTTTGAGGGAGAAATGCTCAGTTCCTGCCTCTTTTGTTCCATCACTATAATTCTGCCATACAGAGAGGCTGCTGCTGGAACAATTTGCAATATTGTCAACCCCAGTCACTCAAAAGGCATGAGTCAGGTCTGGAACTATTATGTAATCAACTTCAAAATCATGAAATTCTTAAATAAATATTGGGTTATTTTTGTTGGCCTTCTAGTTTTTGAAGTGTAGTGTACACTCAGGTCATATTTTTCATGATCTTTTTTTCCTGCAACCTCATGGGTTGTGAACTTTTTTTTTTTTAAATGAAAGCTCAGATTCACATAATCACTTGACTTTAGGAGCTGAAGTATTAACAAACACAACAGCTGTTGCGAGGCTTAGGTAAAATCATAAGAGTTAATATTATTATGCAAATTACTTAGAACATAAGAACGGCCGTACTGGATTAGACCAAAGGTCCATCTAGCCCAGTATCCTGTCTACCGACAGTGGCCAATGCCAGGTGCCCCAGAGGGAGTGGACCTAAGAGGCAATGATCAAGTGATTTCTCTCCTGCCATCCATCTCCATCCTCTGACAAACAGAGGCTAGGGACACCATTCCTTACCCATCCTGGCTAATAGCCATTAATGGACTTAACCACCATGAATTTATCCAGTTCTCTTTTAAACGCTGTTATAGTCCTAGCCTTCACAACCTCCTCAGGTAAGGAGTTCCACAAGTTGACTGTGCGCTGCATGAAGAAGAACTTCCTTGTATTTGTTTTAAACCTGCTGCCTATTAATTCCATTTGGTGACCCCTAGTTCTTGTATTATGGGAATAAGTAAATAACTTTTCCTTATCCACTTTCTCCACATCACTCATGATTTTATATATCTCTATCATATCCCCCTCAGTCTCCTCTTTTCCAAGCTGAAGAGTCCTAGCCTCTTTAATCTCTCCTCATATGGGACCCGTTCCAAACCCCTAATCATTTTAGTTGCCCTTTTCTGAACCTTTTCTAGTGCCAGTATATCTTTTATGAGATGAGACCACATCTGTACGCAGTATTCGAGATGTGGGCGTACCATCGATTTATATAAGGGCAATAATATATTCTCAGTCTTATTCTCTATCCCCTTTTTAATGATCCCTAACATCCTGTTTGCTTTTTTGACCGCCTCTGCACACTGTGTGGACATCTTCAGAGAACTAGAACTCCAAGATCTTTTTCCTGACTTGTTGTAGCTAAATTAGCCCCCATCATATTGTATGTATAGTTGGGGTTATTTTTTCCAATGTGCATTACTTTACATTTATCCACATTAAATTTCATTTGCCATTTTGTTGCCCAATCACTTAGTTTTGTGAGATCTTTTTGAAGTTCTTCACAGTCTGCTTTGGTCTTAACTATCTTGAGCAGTTTAGTATCATCTGCAAACTTTGCCACCTCACTGTTTACCTCTTTCTCCAGATCATTTATAAATAAATTGAATAGGATTGGTCCGAGGACTGACCCTTGGGGAACACCACTAGTTACCCCTCTCCATTCTGAGAATTTACCATTAATTCCTACCCTTTGTTCCCAGTCTTTTAACCAGTTCTCAATCCATGAAAGGACCTTCCCTTTTATCCCATGACAGCTTAATTTACGTAAGAGCCTTTGGTGAGGGACCTTGTCAAAGGCTTTCTGGAAATCTAAGTACACTATGTCCACTGGATCCCCCTTGTCCACATGTTTGTTGACCCCTTCAAAGAACTCTAATAGATTAGTAAGACACGATTTCCCTTTACAGAAACTATGTTGACTATTGCTCAACAGTTTGTTTTTCTATGTGTCTGACAATTTTATTCTTAGCTATTGTTTCGACTAATTTGCCCGGTACCGACGTTAGACTTACCGGTCTGTAATTGCCGGGATCACCTCTTGAGCCCTTTTTAAATATTGGCGTTACATTAGCTAACTTCCAGTCATTGGGTACAGAAGCCGATTTAAAGGACAGGTTACAAACCTTAGTTAATAGTTCCGCAACTTCACATTTGAGTTCTTTCAGAACTCTTGGGTGAATGCCATCTGGTCCCGGTGACTTGTTAATGTTAAGTTTATCAGTTAATTCCAAAACCTCCTCCAGTGACACTTCAATCTGTGACAGTTCCTCAGATTTGTCACCTACAAAAGCCGGCTCAAGTTTGGGAATCTCCCTAACATCCTCAGCCGTGAAGACTGAAGCAAAGAATCCATTTAGTTTCTCCACAATGACTTTATCGTCTTTAAGTGCTCCTTTTTTATCTCGATCATCAAGGGGCCCCACTGGTTGTTTAGCAGGCTTCCTGCTTCTGATGTACTTAAAAAACATTTTGTTATTACCTTTGGAGTTTTTGGCTAGTCGTTCTTCAAACTCCTCTTTGGCTTTTCTTATTACATTCTTGCACTTAATTTGGCAGCGTTTATGCTCCTTTCTATTTCCCTCACTAGGATTTGACTTCCACTTTTTAAAGGAAGTCTTTTTATCTCTCACTGCTTCTTTTACATGGTTGTTAAGCCACGGTGGCTCTTTTTTAGTTCTTTTACTGTGTTTCTTAATTTGGGGTATACATTGAAGTTGGGCCTCTATTATGGTGTCTTTAAAAAGCGCCCATGCAGCTTGCAGGGATTTCACTTTAGTCACTGTACTTTTTAACTTCTGTTTAACTAACCCCCTCATTTTTGCATAGTTCCCCCTTTTGAAATTAAATACCACAGTGTTGGGCTGTTGAGATGTTCTTCCCACCACAGGGATGTTGAATGCTATTGTATTATGGTCACTATTTCCAAGCGGTCCTGTTATGGTTACCTCTTGGACCAGCTCCTGCGCTCCACTCAGGACTAAATCTAGAGTTGCCTCTCCCCTTGTGGGTTCCTGTACCAGCTGCTCCATGAAGCAGTCATTTAAAGTATCGAGAAATTTTATCTCTGCATTTTGTCCTGAAGTGAAATGTTCCCAGTCAATATGGGGATAATTGAAATCTCCCACTGTTATTGGGTTCTTAATATTGATAGCCTCTCTAATTTCCCTTAGCATTTCATCATCACTATCACTGTCCTGGTCTTTTTACTTGTGTAAAAAGAGTTTGTAGCAGTCTCAGTGAGGCAGAAAGGAAAATAAAATATGCTTTATAGATCTGCAAAGAGATTTTAAAATTGAATTGTACCCTTTTTTATATATTTATTTATTTTCCATTAGGCATTGCAGTTAAATAGATGTTAATAGAAACTTCAGCTTTCTTTTTTGGTTAGCAGTTTGACTAAAAATCTCCCTTCTCTTCCTTTGCTGCTCCTCCCCTTCCTCCTCCTCCCTCCTCCCCCCCCCCCCCCCGCCATTGCTCTGCCTTCCATCTCAATGCAGATTTTTTTGGTTATATAACTGCACTCAAAAACAAAACCGTGTAAAACTTTAGAGCCTACAAGTCCACTCAGTCCTACTTCTTATTCTGCCAATCGCTAAGACAAACAAGTTTGTTTACTTTAACTGGAGATACTGGTGCCCGTTTCTTATTTACAATGTCACCTGAAAGTGAGAACAGGCATTCACATGGCACTTTTGTAGCCAGCGTTGCAAGGTATTTACGTGTCAGATATGCTAAACATTCGTATGCCCCTTCATGCTTCGGACACCATTCCAAAGGACATGCTTCCATGCTGATGATGCTCATTACAAAAATAATGTGTCAATTAAATTTGTGACTGTACTCCTTGGGAGGAGAATTGTATGTCTCCTGCTCTGTTTTACCTGCATTCTACATATATTTCATGTTATAGCAGTGTCTGATGATGACCTAGCACAGGGGCTGGCAAACTTTTTGGCCTGAGGGCCGCATCGGGTTTCAGAAATTGTATGGAGGGCCGGTTAGGGGAGGCTGTGCCTCCCCAAACAGCCAGGCCCTATCCAACCCCCACTGCTTCTCGCCCCCTGACGCCCCATCCACCCCTGCTGCTATCTGTCCCTGACCACACCCAGACCCCCCCCAACTGCCCCCCGCCGCCCCATCCAACACCCCTCTTCTTTCCTGACTGCCCCCCGGGACCTCTGCCCCATCCACACCCCCTTCTCCCTAACTGCCCCCTACACCGCCCCATCCAACCCCCCCCACCCTTCCTGACTGTCCCCCTCAGGACCCCTGACCCATCCACCCACCCTTCTCCTTGTCCCTTGACTGCCCCGGAACCCCCACCCCTGCTGCCCCATCCAACCCCTCCTCTCATTCCTGACAGCCCCCCCAGGACCCCTGTTCCATCCACGACCCCTGCTCCCTGACTGCCCCCCGCCACCTCATCCAACCCCTCCTCTCCTTCCTGACTGCCCCCCTGGGACCCCTACCCCATCCAACCACCCCTTCTCCCTGACCACCCCCGGAACCCCCGCCCCCATTCAACCCCCCTGTTCCCCACCCTCCGACTGCTCCCACCCGTATCCACATCCCCGGCTCCTGACCACCCCCCGAACTCCCCTGCCCTTTATCCAACCCCCCTCCCCTGCTCCCTGCCCCCTTACCGCGCTGCCTGGAGCACCAGTGGCTGGCGGCGCAACAGTCGTGCTGCCCGGCTGGAGCCAGCCACGCACCAGGTCAGGCCGGGCTCTGCAGCTGCACTACCCCAGGAGCTCGCAGCTCTGCTGTCCAGAGCATTGCGCCCGCGGCACAGTGAGCTGAAGCTGGGGGCTACCTTCCCGGGCCAGGCAGAATGGTCCTGTGGGCCAGATGTGGCCCACGGGCCATAGTTTGCCCACCTCTGACCTAGCACATGTTTGTTTTAAGAAAACTTTCACAGCAGATTTGACAAAGAAGGTACCAATATGAGGTTTCTAAATATAAGAATAGCACTCGACCCAAGGTTTAAGAATCTGAAGTGCCGTCCAAAATCTGAGAGGGACAAGGTGTGGAGCATGCTTTTAGAAGTCTTAAAAGAGCAACACTTTGATGCGGAAGCTACAGAACCCGAACCACCAAAAAAGAAAATCAGCCTTCTGCTGGTGGCATCTGACTCAGATGATGAAAATGAACATGCATTGGTCTGCACTATTTTGGATCATTATCGAGCAGAACACATCAGCATGGATGCATGTCCTCTGGAATGGTGGTTGAAGCATGAAGGGACATATGAATCTTTAGCGCATCTGGCATGTAAATATCTTGCAATGCCAGCTACAACAGTGCCATGTGAACGCCTGTTCTCACTTTCAGGTGACATTGTAAACAAGAAGTGGGCAGCATTATCTCCTGCAAATTGTAACCAACCTTGTTTGAGTGATTGGCTGACCAAGAAGTAGGACTGAGTGGACTTGTAGGCTCTAAAATTTTACATTGTTTTATTTTTGAATGCAGGTTTTTTTACATAATTCTACATTTGTAAGTTCAACTTTCATGATAGAGATTGTACTACAGTACTTGTATGAGGTGAATTGAAAAATACTTCTTAAAGTGCAAATATGTGTAATAAAATATAAATATAAATAAGTGAGCACTGTACACTTTGTATTCTGTGTTCTAATTTAAATCAATATATTTGAACACGTAGTAAACATCCAAAATATTTTAAAATGTTATTCCGTTGTTTAACAGTGCGATTAATTGTGATTAATTTTTTTAATTGCTTGACAGTCCTAATTCCTATTTTTTCTGCAACATTGTTACTTGAGGTCAAAATAAACAACCTTAAAAATTCCCAGGCTGCCCCTAGAAGTTCTCAACAAATTTTAACTTCACATAGGAGGAAATGAGAAATCTAAAATGTGGAAACAAGAAAAAGAAAGAAAGAATTAGATATTTATGGAGTATCTAGCGAATAGATATAACTTGGAAATGTAATCTGAAGGCTGTTGCTTAATTTACACAATCATTCTGATTTCATATGGATTCCTTTCCCTATCCACTCACACATTAGAAAAAGGAATCATTCAAGTTTCTTTGTAGAAAGGGCCAAAAATCTGAAGCCTACAGAGCAAGTCAGTAGACTTGGCAGATATGTAATTATCTCCTCCTGTTTAGTAGTTTTTGTTTTGATTGAAGCAACACAGTAATCCCTGTTTTTGAGGGTGTGGTAGAACTGTCAATTAACTTCATATATCTGAGAGAAACTACTTTTTTGCCATCTGAACTAAAATGAACCCAGTCTTCTGTAATTGGACTCCATTCCTGTTTTAGCATAAACCTCACTTATGCTGGAATTAATATTTTCATTCCAGGTTTTTGGCTGTATGCGGGAGGAGGATCTGCAAGTAACCATTCTTTCGACATGTCCTGTAACTGATTATAAAACCCCTGAATCCACTTTAACGCTTCCTTCTCCTTTTCTGAAAGCTTTAAAGACAAAAGAATTCAAAGAGATCGTCTGTTGTCCACTGCTGGAGCAGCCAAATATTGTACAGGGTCTCCCTGCTGCTGGTATTATGCAACTTCATTTATATTCTTGCATTCATTTATTTTTTTGCTGCATTGCAAGGTCATGCTTGTGTCCTATGCTAACCATTGACATTTATTGGTGAATGTTAATTTTGAACAGCATAACGTTTAACTGATGATCCTAATTTTAAGTTTATTCTCCAATATATAATTTAGTGAATGAGCCAGGAAGATAACATTGTGAAAATTAATTCACAACACTTGGCATCTTACACATCAGTATGTAAAATTGCTGATGTATACAAAAATTGTGTTCTGTAATTAACCGCTTATACTGCGTAACATTACATCTTACAGTATATTTTGAACCAGGAGTCACCCAATGAAATTAGCAGGCATAAGGAAGTACTTCTTCACACAACGCAGCGTCATCCTCTGGAACCCTTTGCCAGGGAATGTTGTGAAGGCCAAAAGCATAACTGAGTTCAAAAATAATTAGATATGTTCTTGGAGGATAGTCCCTCAATGGCTATTAGCCAAGATGGGCAGAGACGCAACCCCATAGCAAAATGGTATATTACTTAATTGAAAGCGATGTTATGCAGTGTGGATTAGATTACTTTGATGTAACAGTCTTTTCTTTTTGGTTATATTTAGTTCTGAGTTATTGTCAAGTATGGCAGATTCCTGCAGTATTGTATCAGTGTTACACGGATGTCATCAAACTGGACACTGTTACAATTGAAGCATTCAAGCCTGTGCTTTCTTCTAAGAACCTGAAGAGTTTAGTCAAGGTAAAGCTTAATTTTAAAGATTAGTGGAAAGTTCTATCTCTTGTAGTATCGGAGTGTCTGAGGTTGTAGACTAATCAGACTTAAATGTATAGTATTTGAGAGAGACAAACTTGGATTAACAGACTATCCTGAATATAAACCTTAGAAATTGGAATACTTAAATGCCTTAAACTGCTTCCAGCTGTGATTAGCCTCTTAGCAATAGTGTGTGAGAAGCTCTGGATTCACAATAATCATTTCATTTTTGAATTTATTATCTGGTATTTAAAGGAATAACTTCAAGTGACTATTGTAAATAGAACTTCCTATAGATCTTATTAAAAGCCTCTAAGCTACTCATGTTGCTTACTGGTCCGTGAGCTAAATATCTTACCACTGTGCATCCATAGTCAAAATGGTGCTATTCTATTAGCTGTGTATCAGATGAAAGCCATTCTAGATATCATTTAAACATTATTTTGCAAATGTTAATTTTTTTAGTTGTATCAATTTCTTTTAAACCTGAAAGAGTACAGACTTCAGGGACATATTAATCATAAAGGGCCAGATTTTTAAAGGTATTTTGGCCTTGGTATGCTCAGTATTGCAACACCTAACCGATTTAGGAGCCAAAATCTCATTTTCAAAAGGGATTTAGGAGCCAAAGTCCCCATGACTGTCAGGTGCTCTATCCGCTAGGCCACACTGTCTCCATCAGCAAGCAAAAAGTTGAGTATTTTCCTTTTTTAAAAATGTTTTGAATTAACATGTTTACAGAATGGCTTCTGTAAAGTAGTTGCCCTTTTTTTGCCAGTTGAACTTGAGTTTAAATGGAAAAAGTGATTGGTAGGAGAATCTTTGGAAATGAGCTGTTTTCAGCTGTGACTGAGATGCAAATTCCAGCTTTCAGACACCACCTATGAATTTTAGCATCCAACAAGGCTTCTAAATTGATATCGCTTTGTTGAGGGGAAATAAAAATGCAGCCTCTTCCCCCTCCCTTTTATGGGTGTAACTATTTGAGTGAGAGAATACAGGTTAACAAGTCCTAGTGTGTGATTAAACTGGACACTCCTTTGGAGCTTTCACTAGCTCTCTAGATACTTTTTCATAACACCTGACCCTTATTTATACAGTAACTCCTCACTTAAAGTTGTCCCAGTTAACATTGTTTTATTGTTACATTGCTGATCAATTAGAGAACATGCTTGTTTAAAGTTGTGCAATGCTCCCTTATAATGTTGTTTGGCAGCCGCCTGCTTTGTCCACTGCTTGCAGAAAGAGCAGCCCGTTGGAGCTAGCTGTGCTGCTCCTGCCCTCTGCCGTGGAGCTGCTCCTGGGAGCCTCCTGCTTGTTGTGCAAAGGGGCGGGGGGGGAGAGGGGTGCTAATGTCAGGGTGTCCCTCTCTCCCCCCCGCCCCACAGAGCAGGGTGAGGGGACACAACAGGACTCAGGACGGAGGGAGCTTGCTGGCAGCAGTTGCTATCTCAACTTGCTGATCTACTTAAAAAGGCAATGTGTTGTGATGAAGTTCCTCCTCTAGCTTGGTGGGTCCTGCGCTTATTGGCGGATTTGCTCACTTCAGAGATTCACCTTGTAGGTCAGGAAACAGCCCAGAGACCTTCCCGTCTGGTAGAAGCCACAGTCCAGGTCAATGCCTCCTGTGTCTGATTAGGAGTTGGGAGGTTTGGTGGGAACCTGGGCCCGCCCTCTACTCTGGGTTCCAGCCCTGTGGACTGCAGCTGTCTAGAGTGCCTCCTGGTACAGCTGCACGACAGCTACAACTCCCTGAGCTACTTCCCCATAGCTTCCTCCCAACACCTTCTTAATCCTCAGCACAGGACCTTTCTCCAGGTGTCTGATAATGCTTGTATTCCTCAATCCTTCAGCAATACACCTTTTCACTCTCAGCTCCTAGTGCCTCTTGCTCCCAGCTCCTCGCATGCATGCTACAAACTTAAGTGAGGTCCTTTTTAAACTCAGGTGCCCTGATTAGCCAGCCTGTCCTAATTGATTCTAGCAGTTTCTTCTCAATTGGCTCCAGGTGTCCTAATTAGCCTCCTTGCCTTAATTGGTTCCAGCAAGCTCCTGCTTGTTCTGGAATTGCCCCTGTTACCTTACCCAGGGAAAAGGGATCTACTTAATCTGGGACTAATATATGTGCCTTCGAACACTCTCCTGTAGCCATCTGGCCTGACCCTGTCACAGTACTTAGAGTGGGGTCAGCCTACTTAAAGGGGCAATGCATGTATGTCTCATGCAAATGGTGTGTCTCCCCTCCCTCCATTCGTGCTGCCTTGTAGAGCATGAGGCTACATTAACAACACTGTGTTAACCCTTGAGGGCTCAGCCGAGTGCTAGTTCATCATTTAGCAGTAAGGTATTCCCTGGGAAATATCCCACTCTCTTCCACCCTCTGGCTTCACCACCTCAACCAAGCTTCACAATCATCATTGCTGTGTACAGTATTAAATTGTTTATTTAAAACTTATACTCTGTGTGTGTGTGTGTGTGTGTGTGTGTGTGTGTGTGTGTGT